GTACTTGCCTTGGAGGGGGTGCAGCGTACATTTACTAGGTTAGTACCAGGGATGAAGGGGATGAGTTACGAGGATAGGCTGACCAATTTGGGCCTATATTCTCTAGAATATAGAAGAATTAGATGGGATCTTATAGAATAGATAGTGGGAGATTGTTTCCCCTGGCTGGAGAAACTAAAACCAAGGGTCATAACCTTAAAATCAGAGGCCAGCCCTTTCGCACTGAGTTGAGGAAGAATTTCTTCACTCAAAGGGTGGTGAATGTATGGAACTCGCTACCCCAAAGGGCTGTTGACGCTCAGTCCTTAAACATATTCAAGACTGAGATAGATAGATTTCTTATTGCAAAAGGGATTAAGGGATATGGGGATAAGGCAGGGTTAGGTTATTAGCTGGAGTTAGATTAAAAGATCAGCCATGATTGAATGGCAGGGCAGGCTCGAAGGGCCAAATGGCCTACTCCTGCTCCTACATGTTATGTTATGCTATATTATGTTATGTAATATATTTTTGTCTTTTGCAATGTAAACGATTGTTGGCAACATAGCGCCATCAATTTAACAAGCTAAAGCTCTTCAGTCTTGAGAGAGGGCATCTCAGAGGGGACCTTACAGACATGTATAATATTGTTAAATGGAATTGAAAAAGTGAACCCAAAACAAGATTTTAGGATGCATTAAGACAGAAAAACAAGAGGATACATAGGTTTAGAGTTGCAAAGAGCAATTTCAGGATAGATACCAAGAAGATTTGTTTTGCTCAGAGGGTAACTTTACCAACCTGTCTGCTCTCTCTGCTCGGCAGGCACTAGCTTGCTCCACATCTCCCATCCTGCCCGCTCTATCATCTGTGGTCAGGTCTTCAGCCTTTCTGTCTCCACCCTCTGGAAGTCCAGACCCTCTCCACCTTGCTCCATTCCTTGACTCCTACAAGGCCAGTCCAAGCCCTGCCTCTTAGACCGTGGATACACTTGACCTTCTGAAAGTTTCTTCGGAGCAAGAGAATGATGATTCTGATGGAAAAAAGCAAACACTTCAAGCATTAACGTGTTTAGTGTGGAGTATATATCCTGTTTATAGAAGCAACCTCCCTTTCCCTGAGTGTGTAATGGGTAACACTTCCTTCACTTATAGACTAATTGAAATTGCTTGATCACAAGACACCTGAACTTTATTATGATCTTAGACTTAAGACAATTGTATTAAAGTTTGAGAACTTGCAGGATTTTGGAAAGTTATTTGTTACCTTTAGCCATCATTTGAAAGCTGAATTTTTCAGGCTATCACCATGTTAATTTCTGGCATGAACACGACAAAGAGGTAAGTTAAACTGTGCAATGTGCTCTGCTGTGTTCCCCCACTCCTCTCCCCCACACATACACCACCCTCAAAAATAATGTCCATCTTTAAAAATGGCAAACAATACATTTAATTTATTGATCTTCAGTTCTTGAGGTGTCCTGCAGCAGAGTTTGCAATTTCCTGTCAGGCACTTTGAACACCAAGCAATTGGAATGCCTTCCAACCAATTATTGATCTTAAATGGAAAATGACAGTCAGTTAGCATCACAGAGGAATGGCACATCCGAGGTGACATAAGGAAGCAAAACCTTGACAAATGTCATTGTACCACAACAAATGCATTTAAAGCAACAATTATTTATAAACATGGCAAGAATTTAAGCGAATCCTTAACCACATTTATATCCAATTTTTTAAAAAAGATACAATTATATTATGAAATGCTGTTGAAAACATCTGACTCTAGACATTAAGCCATACCCCATTGTTTTCCAAGGTACACACAACACTTGCTCTACATTAATATAAATCTAAGTTGTCATAATGTTTCTTTGAAGGCTGACAAGCTGGATAAATATGTATGAATTGCCTTTCTTTCTTATCACAATTACTCAAGCAAGCTTATTTCTCGTAATACATTATTACACAAACTGTACGCGTCCACACTTATTCACATTGCATTCTCTGACACAAATTCTGTTGAATTACAGCTAAATGTGTGCTATACAACACAAAATATAGTTTACTTTTGTCAGTAAAATATTGCTTAATTTAACTGTGTATGTTCAGGTTTGCTATGTAAAGTGTTGACACAGTATTACATTTTCCAATATATTTGTGGCTAATTGAAGAAAAGCCAGAAATATGGTAGAAGATTTGAAAGAATATGAACATTTTTGAGGAAAGGCTAGCTCTTTGCAAGCATGTTTCTTTAAATCTTTACAATGTTTAGAATGAATTGTAGCATGTTCAATGCATTTGCTGTGATATTTGTTTAGACCCCACAAAAAATACAGTAAACTCACTTTACAGTGTATTCTGATAAGGTGCTATATCAAATACAACAATAACAAAGTACATTTTTATTGCGCTTTATAAGTTGGAGGACGTTCCAAGGTGATGGACAGTCAAAGATTGGGAGTTTGGATCAGGGAAGGTGGAGGGCAGCGAGAATCAAGGTAGGAGGTAAACCGAAGGCG